GTGTTTAGGTATTCGGTTGGTACGGAAATCCAAGGTCTCGTGTATACGTTGATGTCCACGTAAAAAGAATAAGCCCTAGCGCAACTGGTCGGGAAACTCTTCGCTCACTGCTTCATGGTGTATATCCATCTTCATGACATTTAACCACATTCCATTCCTTTTATTGTACTTTATAATAGAATGGTAAATTTTAAAACAACATGGAAGACAGATTAAAACAAAATTATATCTTGTTTTAAAAGTATGGGCTTTATAAACTTGGACGCAGTTTTTCATTGGCTTACCAGCACGACAGGGGAGTATTATGTCATTCCGAAGAAGGAGACATCATTAACTCTATCAACTTACGGACCACTGCAGCTTTTAGTTTGAAAATGAAAACACATGGATTGTGTCTATTATAAAACATCTGTGATTTATCTGATAAAAAAAATGAATTAGAAGTTTTAGGTCGAAATTTCGGAACCACGACAAGAGAATTCTATGTTTACGGCTTTCATTACGACCCGGTTGTCTGGGGATGTTTGTATGAGTATCATTAAATCTGTCTCTGGCGGTAGATAGTTTTCCGGTATTTCCATTGCGTACGGGCGGGTAAAGTTTATTGGTCGTTAGGGATATACCATCAATATTATAGATAGTAAATGACAATCATTAACGGGAATAGATGGACTGACTCATAAATTATTGTTAAGTTAACATATTAATCCTAGAATCCTATTCATAACCAACATAAAAACCAATAATGCAATAATTTAAGCGTCAGAATTAGTGATTAATACTCCTTTTCTTGGTTAGTTCATCCACAGATCTAATAAAAACATTTTTTGACAAGACAAGGACGATGCATATTCGAAACTCAAAACGCGCTTACAAAACCCTTATACAAAACGGGGTAATCGCTGCCAGATTACGGGGGAAGGAGCTAAGCGGTCTTTAGTCAGGGACCTCCAATATTAAAGAGGCCCAAAGTTCAAAATAGATTTTTGTACCATAAATAAATATGTAATTTATACTGACATACAAATTGCCTTTTCACTGTTGATCTAAGCGACATTTTCAGCCAGGGACCCAATCCGTGACATTTAAAGCAAATGGCCTCTGTGACATCTTGGTAGCGGTTATCAAGCCGAATGTGTTTTCTCTATTTGGAAAGAAATTTTAATGAACAGGGGTTTAACGTCCTACTACTTTATAGCACCACGAAGACGGACATGTTATGTCATGGAGTGTGTTGTAAGGAGCGTCTATTCTTCATCAAATATCAACTGTCAGCGTTGTTTTACCTGCATACCCATCCAAACCACTAGACGCTGTTCCTTGCCAAGCTTTTCGTGCTGCACCACTGGGGAACCTTTCTAGCTACCACCGGTATCAAATCGGGTACCTCCTCTCAGATAGCGCCATATTCACCTTTCAGTCTGGAAAGTCTACATACTATTCCTCAGTTTGACATGTTTCGTCCAGTGGATTCTGGTTTTGATTAACGGCTAGGACCCACTGTGTTCTCAACCTTAATCTCTTCTATCTTATATTTTACCCTATAAAATGGAATCGTCTCCGAATTGCAAAGCAGAATTTTTCTCGTTAATTAAAGTCTCACTTCCAGTTTGAAAATGTCACGATTTTATAACTGATCAATATTGATCTCAAGTATTGGTTGTTACATGTACATCTAGTCAAGAATCTGGTTTATACACTGGGGTTCTGATTTAAAATTGATGTCATAATAGTCAGCTTGGGAGGCGGGGGTACAAGTTTTCTTAGTTTAGTCAAGAAAAGCTTTGCGTTGGTCTGCAAAGTATTATTTTTGGTAAAAACAATACTACCTCCACCCACCCACCAAACTCCGCACATATTGCTTGCAGGGTGGGGTGGGGTCCGGGGGAGGGGGGTCGACGATCTGATAGGTTTATTGTTTCAGTTTCAATAGTCCTCGTATTTAAGCAATAATTTTTTTGTCTTAAACTTGCTAAACTTCATTTTGAAATCTCTTGTAAACTATAAAAATGTGAAAGGAAAAAAGTCCAAAAATTGTTCACGTCCGTAAAGTGTGGTGAATTGAAAATTTCACATAACCCAACATCCTCTGCGAGGTTTATAAACAAACCAGCGCCACCTATAAGTATTAGGTAAAATCTTTTGATAGACCTTGTTTTAATCCAAGCCGACAAAGTTCGGCTTTGTTTTCTTATTTAAATGTTAAGTAATCAATCTGAGTGCATGTCAGCGCGGATTAAGTCGAAGAAAAGAAAATTTGTCAGGAAAATTTAATCACATTATTGAATTAAAGATATATACCATTATGTTAGTCCCATAATGGGCCTGGATTTTGTTAAGTGGACGTTAAATCCCCATTCTTCCGGTGTTTAAATTGAAAGAAATCAATAGTAGTTGATATTGGTCAGACAAGTCTTAACGTGGTTACAAACTATTACAGTGATTAATAGCAATCTCAGCTGACTGTGTAGACACAGTCGTAAGAAGGTTTTAACATCGGGCTTTTAATATCAATTATCAATCGTAGACAAGCAAGGGCACTTGACAAATAGCGATTGGGTTATAATTAAAGATTCTCGAATGTACAATTTACAATCTGTCTCTAAGGCCTAGTTCAAACCCGTCGTATGTGTTTTGATACGCACGGGTCGTAGGGTCTGGTAACTCGCAGACTATAGCCGCAAGAAACTGGGTGGACAATTTATATGTGCGGGACCAAAAGTCGCTACGGCCAGTCTGCAATCTTCTTCGGTGCCGAACACACGCAAGTGACCCGTAAGTCTCACGCACAAGTTTACTAAAATGTCCGCTGTACGGCGGGTTGTGAGCTAGGTTTAAACTGGACACACGTTTCTTTTCGTTATTTAAGTTGCGTAGATTATAAAATAAAAGAATAGTAAAAGTTCTCGGGATCGAATTTTCTAATTCAAACTAAAACATGATTTTTGTTGTGTTATCTTTTCCTCCATTATTAAACTACTTTGGTGTATATTGAAATATAAGGATAGCAAGGTTATGCAGTGTCCAAGCTTCTAATAGAGAGAGAGAGAGAGATATTAACGTCCACTCGACGCAAACTAGATCATTTCGGGACTAACATATGGTTCAATTTTACTTCAATAATTCGCTTGCATGTAGGGATCTTTAGCTGTGGGAGGAAACCGGGGGACCCGGAGAAAACCCACGAGTGTGGACAGGCGACCCTACTCCTTGTCAATGACAGACCTTATGATACAGCGCGCACAGGCTATTAAATTGAACGAACCTCTAGATGATTGTTGTGATTTCCCCACCATTTTAGTTTCGTGTATATTGAAACAAAAAAAGCCTTAATGTTCTTCAATGTTCAATCTACAATCTGTCTCTAATCTGAACTACATGATGATTGGTTTTGTTAATAATGTTTTATAGTTTTCCATTAATAAAATCTTAGGTATATAGTATAGGTTCCGGAATCTGCCTTTCATCAGAACTAAATGATACTTTCTGTTTTTGTTAATATGGGGCTATTACTACATTTAATTAATTGTAAAGGTTGTCTAGAATATCGAAATTACAACCTGTCCTAAACCGAATTGCGTGATCTATCTAATATTAAAGTTTCGTGCTTATTGGAATAGATTAACAGTTGATCGACAACATTTCAAATGTATTTTATTTAATTAGTACTAACAAAGATGCTTTGTAAGGTCTATATAACTGAGCGAGAGAGTAACATGGTATTTCTTTATAATCTACTCCCTAGACCATCAGATAGCAGAGATTTAGGCGGATTGAAATATGGTTGCCATTTAATGATTTGATTTTAGAATGGTGAATCGAGGCTGGATCTCGATTAACAAATACCGTTGCTACGATGATAAACAATGGATGCCACATCTTGTCAAAACTTAAACAGTGATAACTTCGCACAAAATAAAGTAATTTGAATGAAATTTTTAATATATTCATTTTGCATTATCTATTTTGGAACTATTAAAACACGAAAGACAAGCTCTTTATCTAAATCATATACAGTGCATCTTTTGGTCAGGCTAGCTCTAGTATTGTCGGTATTTAAGAGAGTTTCTATGATATTATTCAATATTGATCACATTTATTTTCTTTGTAAGGGGGATAATGCTTTTTTTAAAAAAAAAAGCGAAGAAGACAAAAAAAAACTCTCTGGGCACTCGCCCACTTATAACGAAGGCAATCAAAAACAAAAGATTACTTTAACGCACAGGGGAATTTTTTCACTAAATAGACCAAGATCTGGTGGACCTGTATCCATAAAATTCAGAGAAAAATTTGGGCAACAGGGATTTGGAGAACTCTAATTGTCTGTAAATATTCAAATTAGATCATATGCAACATTTTAGAGAGGTCTGTCAACATCTGGCTGATTGGCATATATGGTTGCATTTCCTAGAGGGGAACGGGCACATGTGTATATGCAGCACTTCCTAGAGGGGAACGGGCACAACATGACGTATGCAGCACTTCCTAGAGGGGAACGGGCACAACATGTGTATGCAACACTTCGTAGAGGGGAAAGGAACATGGATGGCGTTTAGAGAGTTTTCTAGAGGGTACAGGGGGGGGGGGTCAAAATATATAAATAGATATGACACATCATATTCTACTCGAGTTTTTAAACCGCTAGCTGGCGCTCTTTCATAATGCTTGATCATTCGGTCAGCCATCGAATTTTTGATCATTCGGTCAACTTAGTTTTTTTTAATAGGACTCATAAGGGTTATTACATTTATTGTCTTATTATAAGTGATAATGTAAAAAGCGTCTAGTCGATAGGATGAGACAAAAACTCGTTGGTGCATACGTAAGCCAACCTTTAATAGCTGGAATTCGATGATAGTTGGTCAAACGCCTCTGCCGGGGCAAACTTTGTGTTATAGAAGACTGACTGGCGTTTGTTCGTTTGCTGCATCAGCCCGTTCGGTGCTAAACAGTAGGACATTAAGCCATATTTCATTTTGTAAAAAGAGCTTATTTCTTACCTTGTAGATATCTGATGAGTATACACATTATCTCCCCAAATATAAAGTTCTGCATGATAACCGGTATGAGGGTGAAAGGCATACAGAACACCACCAGCAACAGATCACTTAAAGCCAGATTAAATAGGAAAACATTGGTCACAGTCCTCATCTTCTGATTCTGTATCAATGTCACTATCACTAACACGTTCCCAACCACACCCAATAAAAAGATTATAAGGTACAGCGCAATCTGTATGCCCATAACAACACCTATGGGACGTCGCGTAGTTCCATTGTAAATGTTATCAGTAACGTTATCATCTGTATACAGACTAGTATTTAATAAACTAGCCAGACTGGACAGTTCGTCACTTAAACTACTACAGTTATTAAAAGTCACATCCGAACAGTTAGTCAAGTTATTAAACGCCATGTTTGCTTCTTGTATTGACATTTCTCTCCAACGGTAAAAGTTATCCCGTCTGACACAGACGAAAACAGCGACAGTAGCGTAGCGTTAAGATATCAAATAAAAGTGTTTAGCTTGGAACTACAAATAACTTCTGAAGCGCACTAGAACCGCTGAGATGTACGTGTGATTTAATAATGTATATCTTTCTTGGACAGGTTTTTTTTTAAGTTTTGTCGTCAAGAGTTATAAATCTGCGAAGATTAACACTTTAAGTTCCGATGACAAGTATACACAGTGTGTGTTCAGTCAGTGATTCACCACCCAAGTAGTAATAACTACTGATCTAGTTTGAAACAACGCAGTACAACCTCGGATATTAATTCAAATTATTAATGTTTTCGACAGTTTCCGTACAACAACACTATACCTTTAGTTGCGTTTTCAAGTCCAAGTTAAAGACGACCTCTCTAAGAACCAGTGGTACGTTTTTAAATACTAGTAACTTTTGAAACTTCTTACGTTAATTAAAATTATAAATTTATATGTTTTTGTCGACAGCTGCCGTACAACAAAACTTTACGCACAGTTGGGTATTCAAGTCCAAGTTATTGATCCATAAAGCAAGGAACTCGGTGGTACGTTTAAAAATATTGCTTGGAATGGCTTAACTTGTTAATCTGTGCTTCCGTAAAACAAAGCTGTACGTTCAGTCAGGTCTTAAGTCCAAATTATAAATCCGCTAATACGCGCTTCTTAAGTACCGGTGACAGGCATATAAAGAATAAGTTTCCTTTGAACAAAACTATGCGCCCAGTCGGGTCTTCAAGTCCGAACAAAAAATCCGCGACAGCGGTGACAGGCATATAAAGAGTGAGCTTTCGTTTAACAAAACTATACGCCTAGTCGGGTCTCCAAGTTCAAAGTATAAATCCGCGAAAACGATTCTCTTAGTTACCGGTGACAGGCATATAAAGAGTGGAATAAAGTTAATGATTATCGCCAGAACGCGCGTATTCGAGGTGTTATCAGCGAGTTATGGTTTTATGATTTTCTCAAATTCTATTTATGTTGGCATGTTGTGTTCAGTTCATGAATGATGGCTAACAGTTTATTGGGTTATCTCGTTTCTCTCACTCAGAATCAATCGATAAATAAATACAGCTGTAAATATGAGTTTCCTTACATACACCATAAGCTACACCAATAACCACCTATCAAATTTCACCGTTTATTATTCATGAATATGTAAAGCTATAGATAATACAGGCGTGCACAATATCTTTTTAATATATTTGATAGGTTCCGTTATCCACTAGAACACATTGAAATGGAGATGTCGCGATTTTTCAAACACACAAATTATAAAGGAATTCCTTTAGATTCTAGGCGTGTTTATCTTTTTCTTAATATTAAATAAATAGTATTCACGATAGCTAAGGTCTTCTCTTTAGTGATATACACAGCTGTTTTAATTCAAAACATCGAAATGAATTCCGCTTGAAGGTTTGTTTAGCTGTTCTTAAATAAATGATAAAATATTCATGCACGGGTTTTAGGTCTTTCCTTTTGTAACATACACCACTGAAACGTTGGATGTTTTTTAATACAAAAAATATTATTAAATAAATATTATTCACGATAGAATATTGGTTAACAGTTTGGATTCGTCTTTCTTGTGATAATACGCCACTTAAGCTGTTTTGTTTATATTTTAACACAAAAAAAAAATTGAATTCCGTTTGATTGAAGTTTTGTTTAACTTTTCTCAATATTAAATAAATAGTATTCACGATGGAGCAGTTGTGTTAAGTTGTAATTTTGCCCTACTGCGCCATACACCCCTGAAACTAGTTGTTACAAACAAAACTAAAGAATAAAGTACTCCTGTATGGCTTAAAAGTTTAAAACGGTTATTGTTTCTTTAGGCAAGTTAACTCCATTATTTGGTGTTGTTGACTGAAGTACGTCAAAGATTCGACACTCGGGATTTCTTTCACGGTTGTTCGTCTGCGCGAGGAATCAAGAAGTTATATCTAATTTGATTGTATCCAATTTGCGGCGGAGCAATAAATCCTGGAAACGGGTTCCGATGACAACTTGCAACTCATTGACATTACTGTCTGGTTTTGTACATGTGGCTTGTCAAATGTCTTTAGGGATATTCATTGAAAGTTGGAGAACTTGCTAGCCCCGCCCATAACATAGCCCAATCAATACTGGTTATACACACAAAGCTATCGATTCAATCATTGGTCTCCTCAACATGTCAATCAGCCTTCGACCTTTTGTATTTCAAGGAACGTTAAGTATCCAAACTAAACTCAAACTACAGTCAAGTAGTGTATAGAGGTGCCAGACAATAACTTGTCTAAAACAATTATATCAGTTAGTGTACACAGTTGTATCTATGCTGGCGGTATGCTTAAAGAGGCGATGGGGTGTTGCCGAAGAGAGTATCTCGCCCTACCTGTCTGCACCAACCGGGCTAATGGAGACGAGTTTACACCACACAGTGTACTATACACAATTCCGAGATCTTTAATATATTTTTAATTTTATACAGATCTTTCAGGTTTTTTGGTGCTATCCGAACGACTAGACTCGTCTGTTTTAATGGGAGCCCCTAGTTAATAGGTCAGCGTCTTACTCACCCATCCATCGTGGCTCCCCTAAAGAAAGAATAAAGAGTACCTATACTCTGTCTGGAACACATGATACCACTTCCCTTTTGAACTCACACATACTATCTGCAAAGTATATCTCGAATGTTACAGAGAACCTGAATTTGAAATAAATGGCAAAGTTTAGCCATAATCACCAACCCAAATCTTCCGTCTTGGGTTTATAAGATTGCCATATGTATGTATTTTAAATTGATGGGGTTTTCTTCTGAAAAATAAATTGCCTATTCCAAAGTTTGATTTTGTGTTTACTTAATGTTTACACAGTCTAACATGTTATATAGTAAGGAGATTTTAACCGAACTTAGATTTGTTTTTCTCTGGTATTATGGAGTGTAGGGAAAGGTCACGCAAACTTAGATAGCTAACTGTCACGCATTTAAAAAAGGTTATTTCATAGCCATTTATTAACCGTAATTCATAATCAGGGCTCTTCCATCAACAGTGAAATGTAATGAAAAGAAATAGGGTTTCTCGTCCTACTGTTCTGCAACGACTGGGCTAATGAAGATGGGCATAGGCCATACATTGTGATATCGAATTCCAACTTCTAGGGGATATTTAAAGTGTACGCCAATGTGTACATTGGACTTCGGTTTTTCTAACATTTTGGATTGATATTCATATTAAATATTCATGACGGAATGAGACTTTAATGGATTTGAAATGGAATGGAATGGGGATTGACGTCCCACTTTTCTGCCCCGGCTAAATGCGCCATGCAGTGTGCTTTGGGGAACTACAGACTACCGGTTATTTTTCGTGCACGACTATACACTGTCTCTTACAAGGCTCCTCGTCATTCCTAAACCACTAAAAAGGGCGAACCACGCCAGAAAATCCAACACAGAACCTTCGGGTAAGCGAACCAAAGTCTTACTCACTAAGCTACCGTGGCCCCGCACCAACCGGGAAGAAATGGAGCGTATTCTGGCCATTGTGCGTCACACTAACACAAATGCAATTTTTATGTCAGTATGGTAGAAAGATAGATTTATACAGCATAATAAATGACATTACGGTACAACATATATATACAGCATAATAAATGACATTACGGTGTAACATATGAAGCATAAAAGACATTATGGTATAACATTATACAGCACATTAAATGACATTGTGATGATACAACGTTATTTTAGGACTAAATTTGGGAGCCCCTTTAATATTGTTGTGGTCCCTGGCTACAGTCCAACCCATCCACCTATTTTTTTTTATCCAGCCATGGTCATAATTGCTTTTTATTATTCTTGAAATTGGCGACTTGTATATTTTGGCAGTCATTTACGGTATAAATTATTATCCTTTAAAACGCCTAAAATTGCCACTTTAAACCATAAGATATACGTTAAGAAGAAATACAAGAAGATCGGTACTCAGATAAACCAAAAGCAATAACATATTTTCGTGTATCTATCTACTTATTGTAATGAATACACGGTTTAGTTGGAGAAAGGCCGGATTGATCCAGTTTAACGTCTCACAGACTCGTTACATAGCTTATATTGAGAAATGAAATAGCATTTAACGTCCTACTTTTTTTAATCAATCGGGATAATAAAGACAGGAATATTCAGAAAAGTAAGACGTTCAAATTCATTCCGTTTCGGTTATGGACCTGTGTATCTAATAATGATTGTTGTTTCCAAGAGAAATGAAATGAAATGGGGTTTACCGTCCTACTGTTCTGCTCCGTACTGGGCTAATGAAGACGGGCATACGCCATACAGTGTGCTATGAGGGAAATTTTGCCCGGACAGCGGCACTACAGCCTACTCTTATATCGAATTCCAACTGTAAAGGAATCTTTTACGTGCACGCCACGTATCCGTCCCTAGACAGCTGTCCTTGTCAGGCCCTCCACCCCGCATCACTGACAAGGGGAACCACGCCGGATCTACGACAAACGGCGACACTTTGGTTGGTGTAGAAAAGTTGGACCTAAAATCACATCACATTACATTTCATCTTGCACTATAATATCGGCAGTGAAAGCTTTATATATTTTTGTATGACTTCGGTAAATTGTTCAAACGGTGTTTTATTTTTTAAACATTAGTGTGTTTAGTTTTAAAAAGGGGGTTAATTAACACGGAAAGGAAGGAGATGGTAAATATGTCAAAACGCTTCAATATACTCGTTTATCACATTACACACAGGTAATGTACCCGTATCTCACATTACACACAATAAACGTTTTTCAGAATACGTGTTGTCATTTCAAAACGAAACTTTAATTAACCGAATATTTCAAACTGAGACCCTTTTCACGCTTTTCTTTACGATTTAGACACATTTAGAAATTACTCTTTTTGTTCTTCGCCGTGGGATTCTTAATTATGTACAAAACTTGAAAGTGTATTTTATTTTATTTTTCCCACCATGTCGAAATGACCTAAACATTAACTCACAGTTTTACGACGCATGCATCTTTTTATCTCAACCTCCCAAATCTTTTGACAGGTGAGAACGGTCTATTGCTTTTAAGGGCGAATGGCTCTATTCTCGGGAATATTAAACTACAGGAAACGGGTTTAAAATCCTACTGTTATAAAGGGATTTCTATTCAATATTTAAAATTATCATTGGAATTTATAATCAATTATTCTCGGGGAAATATGTGAAAAGTGTAAACGGAACGACACTCGCTTACGCCTGTTTAGTCCATTCTACACGTTTTTGTTTTTTTTGTTTTTTTTTTTAAATTATTATTTTGCCGTTTGTGATTCAGACATTACTATAATTACTTCTACATTGTCTCGCAGGATGTTTTTTTTTGTTCATATCAAATGGTGCCTGAAACCATAGAAATACACGACTCGTGTACTGGTTTTAAAATGTCCATTATAGTCCAAGAGCCAGTGACGAAAAAACTGCCTCATAAGTAATAGAAGGTTTGACTATATTAATTGGCAGCTATTGATAGGGCAAATTCAAAACAGCCAGTCTTACGAGGTTTCAGTGGGGCATTTGGCTGGGAGGGGCAGATAAAAAGGGCCAAAAAGGACTAAAATTTGCCTCATAAGTAATAGGATCAGAATTATTTCTAAAATGTTGCCATACAATGTATGAATATAAAAAATATAAATCTGACCAGAAAAAGTGGGGCCATGCCCTTTTCTGACTGCCTTAAAAAGTGCTGACGGGGGCCAAAATTTGCCTCATAAGTAATATAGTTGAAATTGGTGCCAAATGTTAGCTATGTACGAGCCGATTTTAAAAATATCAAATCTGACTGGTTTCAGTGGGGCATATCCCTAATCTGACCACTTAAAATCTGCCCGATCTGCCACGCCCACAAAAAAGGTCAAAATTTGCATCATAAGTAATACGATCAGAAATAGTTTTGAAATGTTGTGGTGCTATATCTGAATCTTAAAATGTAAAATCTGACCGGAAAAAATGGGGCCACGCCCCTTTCTGACTGCTCTAAAAAATGTGGACGGG